TACCTCAAAGGAAATCGCTATCTACTTCGACACAAGCCGAAAGTTCAGGGTTTAATGATACTAGTTGCTCAACCGCTTTGTCCCCGCGCGTTTCCCTCTCAAATATTTCACGAACAGATCGTGGAGAGAGAGAATTTTCTTTTCTTTTCTTTTCACTAATTTTTTCACTAAAAATATTCCCTCAATAATAATTGTTGTGCTCGATTTAATATTCATAGTCGTTCGTTCGAAAGGAAAAAGTTTTCGTTAGAATATTTTTTTCTCAATGATGAAAGAAAAAGATAGGGCAAAATATCGCGTAGAAATTGAAACGATTCTTCGTTTTCTAGAGTCAAAGAGTAGCGCGTACAAGAGGAAGAAAAGGATGAAATAAGGTAGTGGAATGGAAGATAAGTCGAATGGGAGCCGATTGCAAATTTGCCCCGCGACGAGTTCAAACATTGGGGCGCATAAATTCGCCGATATTACGAATCGATACGATCGTGGTATTGTGTTTTTATATTCTCGAGGATTCTCGTTTAACGCGCGTGTTTTCAACGGAATCTCGTTCAAGTCGAGCGTATTTCGCTAGTTCCTTCCACCGATTTTAGTAATTTTATTTTAGTAATATTTTGGTAATTTTTAGTAGCAAGAATAATCTCCTGCGTCATTTCCATCATTATATTCCCGAGGTCCTCACTCGTCGGCATTCTACGCGAACAGTTCGAATCTTTGCCGAGTAGGAGCGATGTGATTATTAAAATGTCGAAAAGAAAAATGGAAGAGTTGTCTTAGTGAGTCATATAGCAAACAACAACTTTTTGTCCAAATATTATGACCAACTCAGCTTTGTATAGAATGTTAATCTTGTCTAAAGAATAAATATAAAATATTCCATAATATATTCGTAAATCTTGAATGAGTTTGAGGAATTGGAATTCTAATTTTATTAATATAATTTCAAATATCATATTAGTTTTACATTCTAAACATTTCTTTGATAAACCATTTTTTTACTACTTTTCACTAACAATTCGATATAGTTTTATTTTATATTACACCTTGTGGAATATCTTTCCAAATAACTACGTAAGATCGTCCACAAATGATCAAATAACCCAATACGAGTAGCTCTATGAGAACTTTTGCTGTCATCAGAATATGGAATGACGCGACGTGAGTCAACGTGTTAAAAAATATATATATATATATATATCAAAGTTTCGAGGTATAAGCAAACACGAAAACGCATAAACGATCCATAACCAATTTCAATCTCCAGTGTTGCCGCTCTTTCAATTTCATCGAATTCCATCGTTGACCCGGCCATTGTCGAACAACTATTCGACCAGATTCGCGATATTTTTTTCCCTCTCTCGAAGAACCTCGCAATAGGAATTTTCCATCCCTTCTTCGTTTTCTAATTATCCGTCGTCCAGGCGAAATAACGCGATCCTCCGTGCTCGATTCGATGAGAAACATAAGGATAATTATCGAGGGGGGTGAAAGATTTTCGTCCTCATCGAAATTATCGCGAGATATTAGGACGAATTACGTGGAATTAGGCGCGAAAGTTCGAACGAAGCTTCGATTCGAATCGAATCGGATCGAGAAATCGGACGAATGTGCTGCACGTTTTAATCGTTTCGTTACCACGGGCGACTATAACTCTCCATAAAATGCCACGGGCGTACTAAAGTCGTTCCACCGATATACTGTGGGCTATAGTCGCTTTGCATAAGATGCAAATGTATTGCACGTACGAACGATTTTTGGAATTATTGTAAATGGATTATCTTTCTCCATGGAAATGTATCGGTATTTTGTTGGAATTATTGTAAACGGAGTATCTTTCTCTGGAAACGTAGAATAATATTTTGTTTCTCACGAGATTCCTCGATAATAAAAATCAAAAAATAATTTTAAACGCGGTCGTATGACGATCTTTCTTAACTACTGTGCACATTTTTTCCCTCTCTTGTGACATCTCGAGAATTTTTATTAATAATAAATTACGATTCGATTGTATTCTCGTTTATCTATCCGATTCAATGGAAAGCAAATACTCGACATCTTCTAATTTTCTCTTTTAAGATTCTTCTTGAGATTCGTGAGAATTGCATTGGATTTCGACGAGATGGCGTGTTCGACGGCAAGTGGAGAGATTAGCTTCGACCTTGGATCGATGCTCGAGTCAAAGGACCCATTTTCGAGGTCGAAGAACTCGATACGCACTGTGGTGAAGCGTTCAACGACCCCTCAGGTTTGACGCCAAGCGCTCCACCCTTGGCTGGCGCCTGTCGCCCTACTCGGTGACTCACGATCCCCCCAAGTAATACCAAGCAACCCCCCTCCCTTTAACTTCGATGGACATTGAATTTTTTCTCGAGCAACCCCAACATGGGATAATATATTGGCTCGTTCGAAAGGTAATTTCATTTTTTCTCACAGCAAACTTCATTCTAAACTGTGGTTTATTTATAAGAAAAATGAAGAATTGAATATCCATTTACTAATATTAATATAATTTTTACAACAACATATTTTCTATATTTCTTTATAATATTTTATTCCAGAAAAATATGAGATAATTTAATCTGAAAATCTTATTAATAAAATATTTAAAATTTTAAAAGTTAATGAACTTGAACAAGTATATATTTTGAAAATATATTATAGAAATTTTAAATTTTCTATTAACTTATTAATTTAATATTAATTCTTTTATTAAATATAAATATATTAGATATGTTATAATTAATATTAATATTTCTGCTCAACATATATACATTAATTTATCAAATCGAATTCGAGGTAAAATTCCTCGAACTCAAATAATTAAGCAAATATGAAAAATATAAGTTATAATAAATATTAAAGATCAATATTCAAATCCATAAAATATAATTGTTAAAATTATTCTTATAAATATAATATTTATATATTCAGATAAAAAAATTAAAAGAAATATACCTCTATAATATTCAACATTAAATCCAGAAACTAACTCTGATTCTCCTTCAATTAAATCAAATGGAGTTCGATTTAATTCAATTAATATTCTAATAAATATTAATAAATATAATGGATATAATAAAATTGAAAATTTAATATTACTTTGATAATTAATAAATTCATTAAATGAATATCTTTCGATTAATATCATTAAACTAAAAACCGTAAAAAATAAATTAATCTCAAAAGAAATTATTGTAGCTACTAACCGCATAGATCCTAAAATTGAATAATTACAATTAGAAATTCAACCAATAAATAATACAGGATAAACTCCCATTCCTAAGATTAATATTATAAATAAAATTCCATAATTTAATATATATATATATTGAATAAATTCATGGATACAAAATTCATAATGTTAAAGATAAAAAAAATATCATTATTGGACTATAAATATATAAATTTGAATAATTAAAAAAATATCATTCTTTAGATAATAATTTTAAATTAATATATTTATAAATTAAGGTCCTTTCGTACAATTAATTTAATTTATATTATAGATAAAAACCAATCTGACTTACGTCGATTTGAACTCAAATCGTGTAAGATTTTAAGAGTCGAACAGACTCAAATTTTAAACTTTTGCATTTAATTTTAATCTTAATTCAACATCGAGGTCGCAATCATCTTTATCAATATGATCTATCAAAAGATATTACGCTGTTATCCCTAAGATAATTTATTCTTATAATTATAATTTATAACTCAAAATATATCTTTAAATCAAAATTAAATTTTAAATAAAGTTTATTTAATTTATTCATCCTCCCAATCAAATTTAATTTATTATTTATAAATTAATATATATATAAATAATAAATTAAATAAAATTCTATAGGATCTTATCGTCCCATAACTAAATTTTAGAATTTTAACTAAAAATTTAAATTCATAAAATAATTTAGAGACAGATATTATTTCATTAATCCATTCATTCAATTCTTCATGATTCGATGCTTTTCGTGCGTGATAACAAAGATGCAAGAGGAATTGATGAAGAGCAATAGCTGCCAATTAAAGCAAGTTAGGAATTATTCTCTTTAACATCTTCTTCACTTACGTTTTGATATTGGAAAATTTTGATGGAACCACAGAATCCGATTAAGCTGTCGTGTAACACAGGAATTGATATATTGATTAAAGAAAAAAGGTTAAAAAATAATTTAATCGAATAGGGGAATAGACGTTTCTTTTATGATGTAATTTGTATCTAATAGGATTCCTTGCGAAATTAAGGCGTATCTCGATGAAAGCAGTCCCTCGCGAGCTTCGAGCACGAGTCTAACACGTTGCAAAACGAGTCCAATGGGAAACATTACTTAAACGATACGACTTCTTGGGGGACTTGGATAAATCGCCGTTTATTACCATTATTCTCCATAAATGGACCTCCATAAGTATAGATAATAGTAATATCTAAGCAATCTAATCTTTCACGAGAGCGAAGCTAAATCGTGTTAAATTTAAAATTATTAAAATAGTTAAGAAAAATATTTTCGACACGTTTCAATCTCGACTCGAGCGGAAGAAAATGAATATAAATATATATAAAAAAAATGTATTAAACGAGAATGTCTTATTAAATAACAACATTTAATAAGAGATATCACTCTGAAATTCGAAACAACGCAGTCTGATCCTCTCTTTGGACACCGTTGTCATAATTAGTGGTAACTAAGACTTCTTGTTTTTACTTTTCTTTTTTTCAAGGTGAACACGTTAATCGGAAAGCAGATACATATTTAACCATCGAGCTATAAGAACAATGAATTATAATTAATTAAAGGTTACTAAATCTTTTTCTTCATTATTTTATGGGGAAATATAATAGATATGAAAATTATATAGGAGAGATTATTGGAAAATATTTAGATGAATTAGATATTTTTTTGTTCGTTCGATTTTTATGTGAAAGTGAGAAAAATTAAATATAAACGCGGGTTAATTATTTTATAAAAATGGAGCTCGACGAAGAAGAGGCTGGGATTTAGTTGGACTTACTCGGAATCCATGTCGGAATCCTTGGCCACGCGGCAATGAACGCCACGATCCATCAGACATTTTCCACTCACTGGATCCGGGGGCGCGAGATTGATGTAGGGCGGCTCCTCCAAGAACGTTATTTTCAGATAAAACTTTTCCGGGACACCTTGAGGCGGCGTGTGAGTGTTCCCTGGCCAGACGATGTCCTTGATGTCCAACCCCTCCTTCTCCCACGATTTCCACACGCCGATCTGTTGCCGCAAAGATCGATAAATTAAAGGATTTCGTTTTCGTTACTCTTCGATAATAATAAAAGTGAAGATGAGTGAATAAAATAAAACGGGATATTTCTCGTATCTCTCACGCTTCGGTCTCCTTCTTTGCCAAGTCGTTAATGTCGTTTCACTCATCTAATTTATTATACCAATATATATATATATACAACTAATTTTTATTCGATCAAAATACGAGCCATTTTAATCTCCTTTCCCGAAACGAGATTTCAATTAACACGTTCCATTTTTGTAAAACTTTTAGGTTTTAGCGCGAAGAAATTCTTCGAATACTGCTTCGATTTTATTTTTCAAAAACTGTGAATGGCGAAAGCGAGCGATGATCGGTCGGTAAGATATCCGGTGAGTAAGATTCGACTAATTTTTCTAGAGCGTTGTTACGCAGAGGAGCAGGTCCGCGGTTTGTTTCTTGATCAATTTCTTGGCAGTAGGATGCCTCTGTTATGGTATCTCCTCGTTTCGGAAAAGAACAACGAATTATTCCCTTTACAGACCAGCCTACGGTCACCCTAACTTTTCTCGGCCTTAATGACGGTTTCGACGTTCGTTAGGGATTTTCATTGGCGTCCAACCATCGTCCAGATCGCGTACGATTATCCTACGGTATCCGTCTCTCGTCACGGGTTACGATTCTATTCAAAAATGGGCTTCCACCGTTTCGAGCTTCGTGCGATAAGCACGCTTTTGATCCTCTGTCGGTTGGCACCCCTTTTTCCAATTTTTTCACTTTACCCATTCCTTCCAAATGTCTGAGAACTGTCATTGGAGACACGTCTAATTCTGCCTCCACTTTGGCTTTCAATTTACCTTTCTTCATCGTGGATTCTCATTTCCAGATTTGAATTTTTCAAAGCTAAGCTAATATNGTCTAACTCTGCCTCCACTTTGGCTTTCAATTTATCTTTCTTCATCGTGGATTCTCATTTCCAGATTTGAATTTTTCAAAGCTAAGCTAATATCTCGATATGCTTCGGCTGTGGTTTAAACTCGTACAGGAATAATAATTCTAAATTCGTTCGCTTCTCAAAAAACAGTTAAACCAACAGCAAAAAAGAAGTTATTACACACAAAGGAGGTATAAGAGGACAAATATACCAAGCAGAATTTAGGTTAAGTAGTAAGTTTACGAGAGTCGCAGTTGATTCTCATTTATTCTAAAATTGGTAACTTTATGTGATACGATCTAATATATATATATAAACCAGATGTTCTTTATTTATACTATTATAACATACAAAAATAGGAAATATTTATATTGTTATTATAAGTAAGTCAGAGCTGTAATACGAGTAATTAAGAAAAAGAGAAAAACAGGAATACCTTCGTTAAAAATTTCTTTTCGTCAGATTAGATTTTTTTTCGCAAGGAAACGAGAGTTATGGAAACTAGATTTAAACCGCGATCAAAGGACACCGTGATATTTACCGAGAGTCGTCAGCGAAAGAATCGTTTTTAATTTGTTCCTTTTCTCGCAGCAAAAAAGAGAGAGAGAGAAAAAAAAAAGAAAAAAACCGAGATCGTGGCGATGAGTCGCATAGTGAAACGCGAATAATTAAAAATAGAAAGTGTGTTCCCCGTGTGAAATTCAGCATGAAACGAAAAAAATAAAAAAATAAAAAAATATATTCACAAAATTCATCTCTTCGTTACGACATTTCGAATATTTCCTTGCTATCCTCCCTTCTGTCTTTTCACGTAAATTTTTTCGATCAAAAATCTATTTGTATTTATAAATTATCCATTCAAGTGTTGTTGATAGCCATTTTGAATCCACGTTAATTGAATAACAATCATGACTCGTGGCCATTTTGAATCTAGATTAATTTAATATAACCGTGACTCATAATTATATATACGATAATATCAGTTTTCGATGAAACTGGCGTCGGATTAATTCACGTATCTAATAATATGTGTCTAATAGTAATTGTTCGATCGATGTAATTAGAGGTATATCGTAAGTATTCGCGCATAGCACAAATTCTCGAACGTGATATCAACGCGTCGCGTTAATTACCTGGAACGATGCAACATTGTCGAAGAATGTTATTCATTCGCAGACACGTTCCATCCACAGTATTCAAGCTGTGCGAAAACAAGGATAGCGCCTCTATTAATGGCGTTCACGAGGATTTGAATCCCTCATAGTCGTTTAATTAGAAAATTACATTTCATTCACGCGTTATTTTCATCTTTTAATCAATTTTAATCGTGAGCTCATCTTAGAATTTTAATTAAAATAACACCAATATTTTGTAATTATTATTTAATCCGTTGCTCGAATTTTTTTTTTTCGAGATACGTTATAAATATGATCTAGTTACAAAGATGACTTTATTTATTTGAAAATTGATTATTATTTTATCATTCGTTAAGTAGGATATTTCACATATTTCAGACGATCGAAACGAGTGTTGTAACGATGTGAAAAATTAATTCTCAATTTCAAAAAATCATATAAATAACGAAGGAAGATCTTATATATGGTTTGATCGAATTTTTCTTCGATTTTTACGACAATGATGAATCGTGACTATCAAAAACTTTAACGAATTTGTTTTTATAATTTTGTCACAATTGCAAGAATAACGCAGTACGTACGATTTTCTTCAATTTTCTTCCATGTTTGATACACATTGTCTTTTTTCGTCGATTGAAAATGTAGAAACACGAGGCCGCCAACTGTCGGGAATAACGCCTGAAAGCGTTCGAGAACAGGTTAAACTTTCAACCGTATTCCCGCCATAAAGATGAATATTTTAAACGTGACGAAACAATACTCGTGAAAAGACACCCCACGCTTCTAGATAGAAATCGAAATAATTTAAAAATCCTTTTCAATCCTTTTACCCCCCTCCCTCCAAAAAACGCCCCCAAATTATATACAAAAATTACGCCCAACAAATATACAAAATATACGCCCACAAATTATATATACAAAAATTATTCATCGACGAATTCACCTCTTTCTCAACAAGTAAAAACAAGTCCAATCGCGAGTTAATAATAACCCTGAAACGACAGAAACGTCTCTCTCTCTCCTCTCCTCTCCGAATTTCACTGGAATTTATTTAACGAGAACCCCCCCTCCTCTCTCCTATCCAACTTTCCTATCCTCTTTAAAGGGATCAGCCCGCGAGAAAACGCGTGGTGTATTCCGGGGAGGGGGAAGGATAGCCGGATGGAATTTTGGAACGAAGGTTGAAAAAAAAAAAAACGAAACGTGGTGGCGAAATTGCGAAAAAGAGAGGATCGCGAGAGCCGATCCGCGTTGCGAATATGTAATAGGAAGAGGGGAGGGGTGAGAGAGGGAGGGGGCGTGTTCTCCCTGGCCGACATTCGAATATTGGAATCCGATACAGATATGTAGTGTACAGGTCGAACGTGTCGCGATGGAAATTCATTCACGCCGCATATACACGCGCGCTGCGAATTTTTCAACTTCCAGACGTGTGGAACGAAGGAACGCACCATCGAGTTTTCCTCGATCGAAAACACGTGGAAGCACGTGGCGCTCGTCGTCATCGAGAATCTTGAATTTTTTTTTTTTTTCTCACAAAGAAAAATTCACATCGAATCGAGTTTCGTCCCGCTTTTTTCTCTCGTCGAGCGATTAATCTCTGGAAAGATTGAGATCAGAGATATGTGGTTGCAGTGTTGTCAGATTTTCAGACGTGGGGATTAATGGGGGATAATGTTGTATACGGGAAAGGAGGAGGGATATATAGCGAGTAATGTTATACGAAGAGGCGGAACGAAGGGACAAAGGCGTGGTGTTGCACAGTCGTACGTGTTGTCGTTGCCCGATGATTAACCGTCGAGTATCGTTCCACCCTCATCATAGCGCCGAACAGATTCTCCTTGCTAGCGAGGATAATCGTGTTTATAATTGTTCTATATGCAGTCTTTACAATGCCAGTGGATCTGTCGAAAGTCGGCGAAGAGCGAAATTGGAGGAAAGTTTTCAAGAGTTGGAGAAACGCGAGAAGAAAGTAAAATTTTTTCGTCTCGTCAATCGAGAGATTGCAAGAATGATTCGAAGTAGAATTCGAAGTAGAATTCGAAGTAGAATTCGAAGTAGAATTCGAAGTTTAATCGATGGCCTTCTTTTCTTGGAAAACGAGTAGTTGGAGTTTTTGCAGGAAGCGTATTTGTCATTTTATTTTTTCTATTTTATCGCATAGATTATTGCCAACGGATTTGATCGTAAAACAGAGGAAACTGTACACCATTCGATCTATTTTTGTTTCTTACCGATCGAGAATTCGAAGTTTTCGTCTCATCAATCGAGAGATACAAGAATGACTCGAAGTAGCGTTTAATCGATGACCTTTTTTTCTTCGAAAATGAATAGGTTTTGCAGGAAGTGTATTTGTCATTTTATTTTTTCTATTTTATCGCATAGATTATTGCCAACGGATTTGACCGCTCGTAAAAAGAGTACACCATTCGATCTATTTTTATTCCTTACCGATCGAGATACGAGAATTCGAAGTTTTCGTCTCATCAATCGAGAGATACAAGGATGACTCGAAGTAGCGTTTAATCGATGATCTTTTTTTCTTCGAAAATGAATAGGTTTTGCAGGAAGTGTATTTGTCATTTTATTTTTTCTATTTTATCGCAACAACAGATTATTGCCAACGGATTTGACCGGTCGTAAAAAGAGTACACCATTCGATCTATTTTTATTCCTTACCGATCGAGATACGAGAATTCGAAGTTTTCGTCTCATCAATCGAAAGATACAAGGATGACTCGAAGTAGTTTAATCGATGATCTTTTTTTCTTCGAAAATGAATAGGTTTTGCAGGAAGTGTATTTGTCATTTTATTTTTTCGATTTTATCGCAACAACAGATTATTGCCAACGGATTTGATCGTAAAACAGAGGAAACTGTACACCATTCGATCTATTTTTGTTTCTTACCGATCGAGATACGAGAATTCGAAGTTTTC